CTTCTGTCATGGTAAAATCTACCGAACTACTTATGAAGATCAAATCCAAAGTTTTCGCCGCGGAAAAGCTAGGTTCAGTTACAAACAATGCCTTGTGTTAGGTCGAGTCAGTTCCGTGCATCACATACCTCCTGATAAGATTCACTGGGGATAGAGGGATCTCTCTATAAAAATCGCTCAACACAGTAAACGTCTGCATTAACAATCACCTACGAGCCTCAGTTTTCCCAAAACAAAAAGAGAAAATTGTCCACTGAAATTTCGCACTTGATTTCTTAAGCAGTAAAGAGGTCTGACAATAACTTAGAGAGGTAATAAAAGGGTATTTGAATCCACGTCGAATACATTCATCATATTTATTACCCCGCCCCAACTCTTCACATGGGCGAAATTTATCGCCCATAGTGACGTCAGCACAGCCATTTCCTTTTCATGGATGATTGGACTGTTTCTATTTACATGTTTGTATTTGCCTTCTATTACGTTTACGACAAAGAAGATATTGTTCGATTTCGTTAATGGTACAGATCACTACAGCTCAACGTTCAGTGTCGGTACATAGCTATCTTCATACTATCAAAACGATGCTGGTTTAGACATTGCTTCTCAGTGCTATCCTAACGGCGGTCGATTATTTGATTTATCGGACTGCACGCTCTACTCAAAACCAAGGTGAGCTTGTAACTTTCCTTAGGATCTGTATTTGCTCGCAGAAATCCTTTTGACAGATTCTGTTCAAAGGAGTGTCATATATTTGAATTTGAGATACCCCAGTACCATATTATACGAATAACCATAGCGAGAGTCGCAACGAGTCCATATGGATGGCTTGCGTGACGGCTTTACCCTCAACTTTGAATGGTAGCACTGTGTTTTAATGATCTACGTTTTGCATATTTGAACCCTTTTAGTTCAGTTTCTACAAATACTGCCTTCTTCGGTACAAAACATCTACTTTATATTTGAAGGTTATTACACTGGGTGGCTTATTTTTCAAAACCCAGCAAGGAATCAATAACATTTGCCTATATACACCATTTTCCCACGTGAAATGTCATAGACCTGCGTCTTACATCTTTGAATTTACTGTATTTGCATACTTTTTACCTTGATTTGTATTGCATTTTCGCCAACGTTTTGAATCTACGATACCATGGTTTAAGGGTGACATTGCCTTGCCGTTAATTTTTAGCTCATATAATTAAATTTCTTTCAAAGGAGTTCTCATTTATCGAATCACCGTCATACATTTTTAGAGGCTTGTCTAGATTGGTCATAGTTAAAACACTCGAGGCTAGTTCTTGTTCGACATAGACGTGCACAGAAGCACAATTAAATACTGCTTCACTACTTCAAACAAACTGAAAGAAGTACATCAAATGGCTTGAAAAGATAGCAAGTTGACAGCATCTGCCAATTTGTTTATCATTCAGATAATTTGTTATTCAGTAGTTCACACCAACACTTTATTTAGTGTTTTAAATAAAAATCAATGAATTGGTCCATGATAGCCGAGCAGAGTTCCGTGAATAGAAGACCTCCTGTGGTATATAAAAAAAACATCATAGGCTGAAACCATCATAAAAATGGTATTATATAATTTTGTATTCGGCATCTAATTTGTAAGTGTCTAAATAGTCATGTGACTGAAGGATCATTATCATGTTTTAATTAAACTTCGTGTTGCCAAAGTGATATGGTTCGCTTTGAACAACGTATCCTTCACCGCTTTGCAAGACAACAAAAATGTCCATTTTTAGTTTTAACTTAAGGGAATTTTTCCAGCTATTCATCTGAAGATCTCGCTACCCTCGCGCCACTGATGATTTCTAAGGTAAGTTCATTACCGTACATTTGCGATTTATTATGATCAAACGTTAATCACGAAACTCAATTGAAAACGTTTTTCTGTATTGAAAGCGTTGGATCTTCATCTAAACACAAGCTTTATTCAATGAACGTTGTGACAAGCATTTGAATCATAGTAAATTTTATCTTTTTCGAAGCCTTCTTGTTTTTGTATGTGTCCAGTCGTGGTGTAAAGGTCATGACGCTATCAACTCGAGAATAATCAGTTATAAAAGGGTACAATATGTACAGTAAAAAGCCTCTGGAAATATATGTACATTTTGAGTCAATATGATATACTGTTTTGTCCGTCGGTTAATTATTCCATTTTCTAGTACAAGGGAAAAGACTCTTTGCTTTATTTTTTACTTTTTTTTCTAAAGACTTAACGTTCCTTTGTAGACTATATAAAAGGCATTATACGTATTAAATACTGAGTGAAGTTTGTGAATCAGGAAAGACTGCTGTTTGTGAATAACATTATCATGGACTAAGTAATTCCATGAACCTTAGTTCAAGAACATATTAGAAGGCCTAAGATATTCATAGACACATACTAACCTGGATTCAAGCACGCGCTAGATTGAAGAGAACTATAGGTGGGATATTAAATCTAAGACTTGACCATTTAGTCCATATAAAGTCAATTCCTAAGAACAAACCACACGCTCAAACTACACTGTATTGACAGTGTCTGCGTTGTCCCAAAATCTCCACGCTCTCGGACCTCTCGCCGACGAAGACATCACGGCATTTAGCTGGAAGTTGAAAAACAAGAAACAACCGCAATCGCAAGTTATAAACTAAAGCACAGGAGTGCATATAAATGCTGAAAGAGCAAACGCGAACAGACATTGCAATTTTAATGATTTTTCTTCCAGCCAACGCTCCCCAGAGATTACGGAAACTTAAAGCCTGACCTTGTCAAAGAAAACAATTCTGTTAAATTCTAATTTAAACAAAAGAATTTTTAAATTAGAGCGTATCTTTGCCGCAGTAAAATATCGACTAAATTCGTGGCATAAAAACACGGGTTTGACATGTTNATCACGAAACTCAATTGAAAACGTTTTTCTGTGTTGAAAGCGTTCGATCTTCATCTAAACACAAGCTTTATTCAATGAACGTTGTGACAAGCATTTGAATCATAGTAAATTTTAACTTTTTCGAAGCCTTCTTGTTTTTGTATGTTTCTAGTCGTGGTGTAAAGGTCATGACGTTATCAACTCGAGACTAATCAGTTATAAAAGGGTACAATACGTACAGTAAAAAGCCTCTGGAAATATATGTACATTTTGCGTCAATATGATATACTGTTTGGTCCGTCGGTTAATTATTCCATTTTCTAGTACAAGGGAAAAGACTCTTTGCTTTATTTTTTACTTTTTTTTCTAAAGACTTAACGTTCCTTTGTAGACTATATAAAAGTCATTATACGTATTAAATACTGAGTGAAGTTTGTGAATCAGGAAAGACTGCTGCTCGTGAATAACACTATCATGGACCAAGTAATTCCATGAACTTTAGTTCAAGAACATATTAGCAGGCCTAAGATATTCATAGACACGCACTAACCTGGATTCAAGCATGCTCGAGATTGAAGAGGACTAGGTGGGATATTAAATCTAAGACTTGAACATTTAGTCAATATAAAGTCAATTCCTAAAAACAAATTACACTGTATTGACAGTGTCTGCGTTGTCCCAAAATCTCCACACTTTCGAATCTCTCGCGGACGAAGACTTCACGGCATTTAGCTGGAAGTTGAAAAACAAGAAACAACCGCAATCGCAAGTTATAAACTAAAGCACACGAGTGCATATAAACGCTGAAAGAGCAAACGCAAACAGACATCGCAATTTTAATGATTTTGCTTCCAGCCAACGTTCCCCAGAGATTACGGAAACTTAAAGCCTAACCTTGTCAAAGAAAACAATTCTGTTAAATTCTAATTTAAACAAGAGAATTTTTAAATTAGAGCGTAACTTTGCCGCAGTAAAGTATCGACTAAATTCGTGGCATAAAAACACGGGTTTGACATGTTGTTATTGACTTGAATGGCTGATTAACAATTGTGTGATGTACCAAGAAAGAAATATCACGAAACAGAAAGTATAAATCACCAAACTCAATTCTTAGTAGGACTGTAACAGTCTGCTATAAAAATTATTCGACCGTCTGTTTATAATACTTCTAGCTTTCAAGTAAACCTGGAACGACTTTTTAAAATAAATGTTTCGAATGACTTCGTTAGTTTCGGCGATTACAGCGAATAGAATAGCAGCTGCTAAAATACGACGTGAAAATGAGTGAGTGAAATACAATGGTAGTGCAAACAAAACGAAGAGGAAAGCAAGAAATTAACATGACAAAGTTGTTCGTTTAATAAAGAGGGTTTTCCGTCGAGGATTGTAAAACAGCCTTTGGAACATGAACCTTTCAGGTGTTAGCTGGTGTTAGGAGTCGGGCAAATTCTTGTCATTTGCTAAATGTTTACCCACAGGTGTAGCAAGGTGTCGGTTTCCTTCGCCAACATGACAGGCGTTACAACCTGCGCGGAACAATTTGCAAGCTACACGAGGACATATAATGCATGGTAGGACACATTTAGCCGCTTTCCCTTTCACCCCTTAAATGCTAACCGCAAGCAGACGGCAGTAAATAAATGCTAACCGCAAGCAAACACAGTATATAAATGCTAAACGCAAGCAAACGGCAGTGAATAAAAGCAAACTATATATGTGTCCTGCCATGAATTATATCCCTACACGAGCTCGAAATGTTTTGAGTATCGCATCTTTCCCACACACCATTGCTCACGAGAGTTGTTCAACGTAGAACTGATAAGAAGTTTAACCTTGCGCATTTCCGCTAGAACTAAGGTACTTAGTTGGTTGATTATTGTCCCTACAAATCAAGATCTTGTTCTGCTTAAGTTTTGGAATTTTGGCAACTTTGTTAATTCTTGTAATACTTTGCGAGTACACAGTAGGGGGAGCGAGATGAAAATCGGCTTTCATTCTTGTAAGAAGGAAGAAGAAAACTGAAATTGGCCCTTRAGTTACCKGCTGAAATCCGCTCTGGTWCATCTTTTCTAACATTTGAACTGGTTTCTCAACAGAGATTCSRAGCAGTAYTCTGTACARGGRAGACGATCGRGGAAGTCAATGAAAATTAAGTTCCATGGAYGGAAAAACGAYTGACTTTGCAATGGCAAAATTTGAAGAGGAACAAAAACCACCCAAGCCAAATAACAAAAACCAGACCTCAGCTGAGATGTGGCGGGAGTTTGTGGATAACACGACATTGCATGGGATTCGTTATGTCTTCATGAGGCGCCATGTTCTCATTCGTCTTCTCTGGCTTTTGTTATTGCTTTCCTCAGGTGGTTACTATGTATTTACAGTTTACAGAGCTTTTAACAAATACTACAGTCGTCCAATAAGCACTGTATTAAGCAGGAAAAATCTCAAAGAAATGGACTTTCCAGCTGTTACGATCTGCCAACTCAACCTTTTTGCTAGAAGCAAAATTCTCATGACTGATGACAACCCACAATTTGCATCCAGCGGTTTAAACCTCAGCTCATGCGCCGTGACCTCAGAGGTTCGAGGTCATCGGCCATGTGGGTTGTCACTGCTTTGCTGCTGTGCGCCCATTTCTGAAGAAAAGGCCCTTGTTTTACCAAACTGCACAAGACAATATCGACAAGATCTCTTAGCTGTCATGCAGACATCAGGTCATCAGCCCAATATCGAAGAATTGTATCAGTACTACAGCCAGAACATAAGTGAATTCGCTAGAACCTGGTGCACGTTTGGCTGGCAAGAGACGGAATGTTCAGCAAAAGACTTCGTTCCCGTGGTAACTCCATGGGGGATGTGTTATACCTTTAACTCAGGTATTGATGGTAAGGTAAAATCAGTGAATACCGCTGGGGTTTCCTCCGGTTTGACTCTGATTCTCGACACACAGACATATGAGTATACTCAAGGAAAGTTTTCTGAAGGATTTAAGGTGTTGATTCATGGACAAGGTGAATATTTCGATGAATGGGAAGGAATCAATGTAGGACCAGGACAGCACGCCTTTATTGCTCTCTCACAGAAAAGGGTATGTTTGCAATCCTTTGTTATTTATAACAGTTATTGACCAATCATAGCAAGAGTTTAGCAATGCGAATAGAGTGACCTGTAAAAGTTGTTTGTCATGCCCTGAATTCGGTTCCAATTTCTTTGCTCTAGGGCCTAAAATCACTTCTGTCGCTGTCTTTTGTGGTTGGTTTCGGAATAATTTCAATCTCTTGGTAAAACGTTATTTTGGGGTCTGTGTTTACTTTGTTTACTCCATGCACGGTTAAAAATTACTTTTGTCTGTGCATATTTAAATTTGTAGTAAGACGCTAGATCGCATTTGTTCTGGATTTGTGACTTATTTTCACGCAGGTTTCAAAATTATTTTGGTCGTCATTATTCTTAATGGTTGACTTAACTTGTTTTTGTACAGTTTGAGAATTTGGAAAAGCCATACGCCACCAACTGCACGAGAAAAACGTTGAAAACCTTTTCTACTTACACACCAGAAGGATGCCTCCATGAATGTGGAGCAGAAGAAACTATAAACAAGTGTAAATGTCGAATCGCGGGCTATAAAGGTAATGTATATGTGAGACATGTAGTAATGTTGAGTCTAGTCCACTGAAAAATTAACACCATATGGAATCTCCCTCAAAAACATTTATATATCGAATATCGCTGCATACAAAAGGCTACGAAAAGTAACCCGCTTCCGTAACTGTTTAGCAGAACTAGGCTGTTGCAAATGGTTGTTAGTTTATTTTAGTTTTTATTCGTTTTTCTTTTTGAGGTTCTCCCGAGATTCGCACCTGCACATCACCCGAAGACGAGACCTGCAATTACGAGATAGACGGTGAGCAACAACTGCGATTACATGTCGAGGAAAAGGTTGTTGCTATTCATCGTGGTAGATGCAATAATAAAGTGTATTATCGTTTGTCTCACGATGTAGCAGCAGGCGACAAGGTCGACTGATTGCACGGTATCATTTATATCACAAAGG